ACAATACAATATCATTTTCATCACCAGAAAGGTGAATTTACATAAATGAAAGAGAAAACTCTAATCACGATTGGAGAATTCGGAGAAGATTCTCTACAAACGAAATCGATCAACTCGTAATTCTCGGTCTCACAAACAACATACTAAAATTTGAGCCAATTTCGATAATGTTTGACCCATGAATCGGGTACGCCCCTTTTCTTTCTTCTTTTTCCTGTTCTCTCGGTGAGCTCTCGGTAAAAAAACTCACTTTTTCTCTCTCCTGTTGGGCACTCTCACCGCACAAAGCAGCAGCCCCATTCCTTTTGTTTGCTTTTGACTTTTTCTCTTCTTTTGTTTTGTTATTGTTATATACTTCCTGGGCCCCACATAAGGTTAACACTAATTTTGTCGCTTGAAAGCAGTAATTTGAAAAAGAAAAAGCCCCCAAAAAAAAAGAGATGAAGAAAGAAAGACAAAAACACAAGAACGAGGAAGAGAAGTCTAGAACCGCCAAAACCAACCTCACCTCTTCTCAAACCTTCTCTCTCACTTTCTCTTTTCCAAAGGAGCCGAGACCTTACCTTGATGCCACCTTGTCAAGTCGAGAACAACAACAGCAGAGCAGAAGCCACCAGATACCATTCTCTCTCTATCTCTCTCTCGAGTCTCTCAACTCTCTCACCGTATATAAATACAGTGTTTTACTTCGCCTGCTGCTTCCTCAGATACACACACTCTGGTCTCTGCACCGAGTCTCCACTGCCCTTTGGCTTCTTCGTTCGTTCGTTCCATCGATCGGGTACTGCGTGGTATTCGAGTCCGAGCTCCGTCGACACACACTGATGGCGGACGTTGGCATGGGGGAGGTCGAGACCTTTGCCTTCCAGGCCGAGATCAACCAGCTCCTCAGCCTCATCATCAACACCTTCTACAGCAACAAGGAGATCTTCCTCCGCGAGCTCATCAGCAATGCCTCCGACGTAAGCTCTTCGATCTCTCTATCCGCCTTGTCTCGTTGTCGGTTGAGTGTTCGTGCTGGTTTCAGTGCAACCGTCTTAGGATCGTGACGTTCCTGGGTCGAACAGTGTTTGAGGTGACGAGGTCGTGTGTTGGAGTGATGTTGCTGATCGGCGAAATGTTTGTGCTTTAGTAACATTTGCTTTGGCGCTGCGGTGCATGACTCTGTCCCTGGTTTTAGGTTTTGTTGGTTCTGTGGTTCTGTAAATTTACATAGTACGTGACAAAGTATGTAGTGATTGAAATGGAACATCAAAGTAGATGAATCATGAATGTGTCGATCGCCAAATGGCCTCTTCTTCTCTGTGTTGACTGCGGTTCAAGTTTAGTAGCTTTTCTCTAGTTTTCTATTCTTGAATTTGATTGTGGAGGCTAAGGCTTCTCGGTGATTTCTATGTGAAGGCATTGGACAAAATTCGTTTCGAGAGCTTGACCGACAAAAGCAAGCTTGATTCTCAGCCTGAGTTTTTTATCAGAATCATCCCTGACAAGGCCAACAAGACTCTCTCCATCATCGACAGTGGCTGTGGCATGACCAAAGCAGGTATTATCGCTTTCTAATTGTGCATGTCGAGAAATTCTTATGCAGTGCTAGTGTAAACAGTCATGTTTGGTCCACTTTGTGCCTCGATCACCATTGCAACTATTCGAGATGTCAACTATACTGAATGGCCAAACAAGAACACTGTATGGCCAAGCTAGCATTTGCCATAGGTTGGATTTGAGCTCTAATAAGATGAAACTGAATTTCGGTTTGCTGCAGAGGTGGTGAACAACTTGGGCACAATTGCGAGATCTGGAACTAAGGAATTTATGGAGGCACTGCAAGCTGGAGCTGATGTGAGCATGATCGGGCAATTTGGAGTTGGGTTTTACTCGGCTTACTTGGTTGCTGAGAAAGTTGTGGTAACCACCAAGCACAATGACGATGATCAGTACATATGGGAATCTCAGGCTGGCGGGTCTTTCACCATTACTCGGGATGTCTATGGGGAGCCTCTAGGTAGAGGTACCAAGGTTACACTCTTCCTTAAGGAAGATCAGGTGAGTTCATCGAGTTTGAGAGTTCAAGTCTCTTTTACAAGTAAAAATCAACATGCTTGTCTATCCATAATGTTAGTTTCTGTTTAGACATGTGTTCTGTTAGTTTTCTTGTATCTCCTGATCCGTTCTATCACTGATGCTAATAAAGTATCGTAACAGGATAGTACATTATAAGCGGACCTCTATTCTTCATGGATGTTTTATCTAATTAAGTAGTTTGAGGAAAGTTTTTGAACAAGTTTCTTGTCCATATGGGATATTGTTAATGGGGCAACTGATTGTGAGCTTCCTATTGCAGTTGGAATACTTGGAGGAGAGGAGATTGAAAGACCTTGTGAAAAAGCACTCTGAATTCATTAGCTATCCAATCTATCTCTGGGTAGAGAAGACTGTCGAGAAAGAAGTCAGTGATGATGAGGATGAGGAGACCAAGAAGGAAGAGGAAGGTGATGTGGACGAGGTAGATGAAGACAAAGAGAAGAAGCCTAAAAAGAAGAACGTGAAGGAGGTGACCTATGAATGGCAAGTGATCAACAAACAGAAGCCTATCTGGCTGCGAAAGCCAGAGGAGGTAACCAAGGAGGAGTATGCCGCTTTCTACAGGAGCTTGACCAACGATTGGGAGGATCACCTGGCCGTCAAACACTTCTCAGTCGAAGGGCAGCTCGAGTTCAAGGCTATCCTGTTTGTTCCCAGGCGAGCCCCGTTCGATCTCTTCGACACAAGGAAGAAAATGAACAACATCAAACTTTATGTTAGGCGGGTCTTCATTATGGACAATTGCGAAGAGTTGATTCCTGAGTATCTTGGATTTATCAAGGGAGTGGTGGACTCTGACGATCTTCCTCTCAACATCTCGCGCGAGATGCTGCAGCAAAACAAAATCCTCAAGGTTATTCGGAAGAATCTCGTCAAGAAGTGCATCGAGATGTTCTTCGAGATTGCCGAGAACAAAGACGATTATGCCAAGTTCTACGACGCCTTCTCCAAGAACATCAAGCTGGGCATTCATGAGGATAGCCAGAACAGAGCTAAACTCGCGGACCTGTTGAGGTATTATTCGACCAAGAGCGGTGATGAGATGACAAGTTTGAAGGACTATGTGACTAGAATGAAGGAGGGTCAGAAGGACATCTACTACATCACAGGTGAAAGCAAAAAGGCAGTGGAGAACTCTCCATTCCTCGAGCGGCTGAAGAAGAAAGGTTATGAAGTCCTTTTCATGGTGGATGCCATAGACGAGTACGTCGTCTCTCAGCTGAAAGAGTATGACGGCAAGAAATTGGTTTCTGCAACCAAGGAGGGGCTGAAATTGGAGGACGAGTCGGAGGAAGAGAAGAAGAGGAGGGAAGAGAAGAAGAAGTCGTTCGAGAGCTTGTGCAAGACAATCAAGGAGATACTGGGAGACAGGGTGCAGAAAGTGGTGGTGTCGGATAGAATCGTGGACTCGCCCTGTTGCTTGGTGACCGGGGAATACGGATGGACAGCCAACATGGAGAGAATCATGAAGGCTCAGGCGTTGAGGGACAGCAGCATGGCGGCCTACATGTCCAGCAAGAAGACTATGGAGATCAATCCCGACAACGGCATCATGGAGGAGCTGAGGAAGAGGGCCGAGGTCGACAAGAACGACAAGTCGGTGAAGGATCTAGTGCTGCTGCTGTACGAGACTGCGCTTCTGACTTCCGGGTTCAGCCTCGACGACCCGAACACCTTCGCGTCGAGGATCCACAGGATGTTGAAGCTCGGCCTGAGCATCGAGGAGGAGGATGAGAATGCCGGCGTGGACGCAGAGATGTCTCCACTGGAGGAGGAAGGGAATGAGGAGAGCAAAATGGAAGAAGTTGATTAAACAGGGAAGCAACTTAAAACAAAATCAACATAACGACAGTAATTATAGCACGCAGGACGGGGCATGTTTCTCGGTCGTGTATACAGGAGTCTTTGGCTTTGGGGTCTCTGGTACTTGGCTTGTGGGTTTGTTCACTTGTTGACTATGTCATACATGATGTGTTTGTCTGAGTAGTGTCTGTAATGAGAGAACAGTTTCATGATCAAATCTATCTGGTTTATGCATATGTAACTTTGTGTTTCAGTGGGAAGAAAATTGACATATTCCGATTTACCAGCTGTTCTAGGAATCTATACTCCTAAGTAAGACTGTGGAAATGTGTCTTTATAAGCCATCATAGGTAAGCATAGTTTCAAGGTAGTACCGGATCAGGATGTTTTGGGTATGTATGGTATGTTTCAGATTTCAAAAATTGGGAAATTTGCTTTGACAGATAGGTTCAACGATTCAGGTAGGTGGAAGTTTTTGTGTTTTTCTTGATTTATGTTGTCCCACAATCTTATGGTATTCCATAGCCTCAAATGATGAGTGTATAATTTGGAACTGCTAGTCCGAATTTTCATTTTATGATTGAGACTTTTACTTTGTTAATGTTTTATATTCATCAAGTGTCTAAATATAAGTTATGGTCAGTGAATTATAACAGCAAATAATGGTCATTAAAAGTGATGATTCATTATAATTATTCAATTAATAATACATAGAATCTAGGTAGATCCTGAAATCGAGCATAGATTTCATGTTTAAAACAATGAGAAACCTATTTCAAATCGGATAGATTGCAGGTTCAAGGAAACCTGTACGAAACATGGAATTCTCCAAGTCCGAACAACACTATCCTATGCGATGCGAGTATCTCATTCATTGAAAACAGAAAATTGCGGACAAGAAAAGTTAACAACAACAGAGGTTGTCGAGCGGGAACAGGGAGCCATCTCATTCTCCTGCATCGATCCTGCTTCCTAAGTTAAAGATGGGTAGATGCTCCCGACAGATGCATCATCTTCCCTCATGCTGCGAAACTCAACCGTCTTTGAGAGGATGGAGAGGATTTAGCCGGTGAAATTCGGAGGCGTTCCTTCCTCTGTCGCTCGTGGCGCCGCCCATGAATCCCTCGATCTCGCTGTGCCTGAGCGGGTCCTTTCTGGTCGCGCCACCCACCAAATCAGTGGACCTCAGAGGAAGCTCTCGGCCCTCACGCTCTTCGTCGTGCGAAGAAGGTCGACCCTTCAGTTTCAATCGCGTCCTGGACAGTTTGAGCTCTTGCGCCGCGCTATCGGACTTAAAGTCCGGTTCTTGCGTTCACGCGGCCACTGTAAAACGCGGGTTCGACGCCGACGTCATTGTCGGCAACACGCTGCTGAATTTCCACTCGAAATGCGGGTGCGTGGTCGATGCTGCAAAGGTGTTCGAGTGTATGCCTGAGAGAACGGTGGTGTCGTGGACGTCGATGATGTCCGCCTTCTGTGAGGTCGGAGAAAGTGACAAGGTGGTCTCTATGTATGGGCAGATGCTGCAAGAAGTGGACCCTAACGAGTTCTCGTTGTCCGTGCTTCTAAAGGCTTGTGCACGGAGAGCTGATCCCAGATTGGTTGAATCGGTCCATTGCTGTGTTGTTAAGGAAGGACGTGTCATGGATGGTTTCTTGAGTAATGCCTTGGTGGGTGCTTACGCGAAATCTGGATATAGGTTGGTTGCTGAGAAACTGATTGGAGACAGCGAGGGCAGGGATGTGGTCTCTTGGACTTCGCTTATCTCTAGGGCCGTGGAAGAGGGAGAAGCGGAGATGGCCATGAGCTATTTCTTTAGGATGCAAGAAGATGGGATCGCTCCAAACGAAATAACGATTTTGAGCGTCTTGAGGGCGTGTTCCTTGATCAACGAACTTCTGGTCTTCCAATGGGTACAGGGCTTGATTATGAAAGTGGGATGGTGCTTGGATGATTTTGTGTTGAATTCTCTGTTGGAAATGTACTTGGTTAAGGGTTATTTCTTCGAAGGAATGCAGATTTTCTGCAAGTATATGTTCTTAGGCGAGGACCGGTATCTTCAACCAGAAACATTGGCTGTTATCCTTCAGGGGTGCTGCCGTGTGGGCTTTCTTGAGCTGGGGAAACAGATGCACTGTTATCTGATAAAGAAGAGAGCCTTTCCAAGCTTAGTGGTAGAGAACTCGCTCATCAATTTATATGCAGAAAACGGACGTGCACATTCTGCATTCGAACTCTTTAAAAGGATGTCTGTCAAAGACATCGTTTCTTGGAATTGCATCATCTCTTGTCTTGCAAGATATGGGAACTACAGCGATGCCTTATTGCAATTCAAGAAGATCCACTGCAATGAAGGCAATGAACCAAGCAGTCCTGATTTTGTCACGGCATTGGCAATACTTCAGGCTTGCTCAGAAATGTCATCATCTCAGCTAGGTCAAATGTTCCATGGATACATAACCAAAACAGGATTGGTTTGTGATATTTTCTTACAGAACTCTCTAATCGACATGTATGGAAGGACGGGTAGATTAGATTTAGCAAAGAGCATCTTCCAGGACATGCAAATTAAGGATCTACCTTCCTATAACTCTCTGATCACAGCGCTGGGAATCAATGGAGATGGGCTATCTGCTCTTAGGGCATTCGACAAGTTGAAGGAACTGGAAACAATCCAACCAAATGGAGTTACATTCACCAACGTTCTTTCAGCATGCGCCCATGCAGGAATGGTTGAAGAAGGGCTCGGGATTTTCTACTCCATGAAAAGAGAATATGGTATCGAGCCAAGCATGGAACACTTTGCTTGTGTGGTCGATCTGTTGGCAAGATCAGGTAAACTCGAAGAAGCTCTAACCTTCATCAGGGCCATGCCCACAGCGCCAGGACCCGCAGTCTGGGGGGCTCTTTTAGGTGCTTGCGCAATTCACAACCGCATTGACGTGGCTGAAGAATCGGCAAAATGGCTCTCGCTTTTGGACCAAAAGGGAAAAGCCTGGAGGGTTGGCTTGTCGAATGTCTACGCGAGCGCAGGTCGATGGGAGGACTCATGGAAGGTGAGAGCTGAGCTGGAGCGATTAGATGGGAAGGAGGTAGCATGGAGCAGCGTGGCTGTCCAAGGTGAGGATGTGAAGTTCATGGTTAATGACACGAAGCATCCGCAGAGTAGGAGTATTTATGAAGTGTTGGCGACGCTCACAAACCACATCAAATTGTAGGACTGTTGTCTGATCAATGAGATGGCGCAGCTCCTGAACGGGGTTGGCCATATATACTGTATAGGACTCTACCAAAGAACCCGCGTTTCTTTCTTTTCGCAAGGAAGAAGATGATGGAATTAATCAACTAGTCCAGAAAGCAACCCTTACTGCTGTCCAACCACTTCGGATGGCTGAGACCGTTCGATTGGCTGGTGATTCACTCGCTCGATCCTCCTTCAGGCACAACCTGCCGTGGTGTATGCCCCTTCCCTTGATATTCACCTCCTACGATGCTATGTTTCGCTCATTAGAGAAATTGAGTTTGATGGTTTTCTGGGACTGTGTTAATGAATGCGCAGTATCCTTGCCCCCGATGAAACTCCTGGTAATGTTCCCTGCGATGCTACAGGGTAAATGCCAATGCCCGAAATGAAAACTTAAATGGACGCTATGTGCTGATTTTGTGTTGTGGACATTTTTCTTTGATATACTGTGTTGGACATTGGTCTTGAGCATAACCTTAAAAGGCTCAAGGAGAGACATATGAAGGAATTTCCCGATATGGTGAAGGGATCTAAAATCAAGTACGAACTCAGGCAGGTTCTTGAATGAATTTCTTTCCAGCCATTTCCATCTGTCAAATTATCCTAATCAATTGACTAGAAGAACGTTCTTGAATGAATTTCTTTCCAGCCATTTCTATCTGTCAAATTATCCTAATTAATTGACCAAGAGAACACGTTCTTCATTCCTTACTAGCTCCGACGATTGTTGCTTCATCTCATTCTATCATTGCATCACCCTAGGTCGGAAAGGCAGCATCGCAAATTGGACTCTACCTCCATTGACCGAGTCAGTTTTCATTAAGCCGCTGATTTCTGTATCGTTCACTAGGAAACAAGTACAAGAGCTGCCTCACCACGAGACAAACCACAAGTCTCACCATTCTTGTTCTTGTAAACGAAAACTGGTTTGCATCATATTTCTTGGATCTAACGCTCATTGAAAATGCAAGGAATTTATTAAATTCGAGGAGCTCAAATCTATTACAGGAATCGCCAAGAGGGGAGGTAAAGCGTTCAATTTCCTAGACATGGCGAAAACTGCAAGAGGCCATTAATAAAAAGATAAATGTCAACCAAAAGGTTCAAGCATTAATTAAAAATACTATAACAATAGAAAAGCAAGACCCCATTCTCAAAAATTCAATTTGTCAGAACAAAAGCAGTCCTTAATCCGCTAATAACAGATCAAGATTCTTGGGGACTAGAGCTGACATGCAGCAACCAACTGCGGGTGCCGCCACGTCACGCTCTTCTTACAACTGGACAGCTGAAACTACTAGCCATGAACCGTTCAAGGAAGATTCGAGCTAGCCGGTCCAGCACCATAGCCACCACCTCCCCGTCCAAAGCCTGGTCTTCCACCAGGACCCTGCATGACAGAACTTGAATGTTATATTGGCCAAAAAACGATTGATCTTGATTTGTATAAACGATTTCTCTACTGCAACCAGTAAGGACGGTCCAATTGCTAATGGCAAGATTCTGACACTGTAAATCTATGGCAGTACTCCAGTTAGCTTTCCCTCATCCACTCAAGTTAGTGGTGCAAGACTCAAGCTAGAAAAGAGGAGTCAGATAAGCTAAGATGTCATTTTCTACCTGATAAGTATTACGGTAACAAGTTAAACCTAACCATAATTGTAAACACTGGAAATAATCAAATCGAGATGCATCTCTTGGCAGCCCTAAGTCGAAAGCAATGAACGATACAATAAGCTATGAAAGATAACACGTAAATAAACTCACTAATCATCTTAGTCAAACTTTTCATTCTAAGGAATACACAACCTGAGCTAAAAGTATACAAAATAGATGGCTTGTCCTAGAAATCATTTTCATGCAATGGCGAGATTCTATACCATCCAAAAAGTAAGGAACTCACCAATAAAGACATTGTGACTTCGTGCAAATTACAACAATCACATATCACGTAAAAGTAATGACAGTATGACTAGTAAGAGATTGGTATATTACCCCAAAGGAAGGCCGGTAGTCAGCAGGAGCTCCACCTTTGTCACCGAAGTCACCCCCAGGTCCACGGGGACCACCACGGTAGCCCTCACGGTCACCAAACCTCCGTTCTCCATCAAAGCGAGGTGGGCCACTGTACAACATTACAAAAAGTAGGATAAGAAAGAGGCTATGAACAGCAGGAACATAATCCCTCCTATATATACTGAATAGTGTATTGACATGATCGATATTGAAACTGAACATGAAAAACACTAAAGATACACCTAAAATAACAATTACCGCGGGCGATCACCAGGTGGGCCACCCATGGGCCTACCAGCCGGCTTGGCTTGTTTCTTCAAAGTGGCAGGGACAATTTCCGAAGGGAGATTCAAGTAAGTCCTGAGGAACTCGATCCCATCGTTCGTGAGGTACCAATAATAGTGCATCCAAGCAAAGGTCTCCGTCACGTACTCCTTCGACTTAAAACTCTGCATCAGCTTAATCACCTGCAAGTTTGGGACATCGATTTCCGGGTGTTTCGCGAGATTGTAGTCCTTCTTGGCATAGCACACTCCCTCTATAGGAACAACAAAAAAACATTCAACAAAACCAACTAAAGACAACAACAACCCAGATTCAATGGGCTTTATCTAGACCTTAATTCTTTGTGGTACTGACAAAAACTTCTGAGCACAAGTAAAGGTGTCTACAAATTCGTGGCACGAGCAAAGCATGATTAGAAACACCCCTCACGAATGCAAGTCTCAAAAGTATTTTGAAACCGAAAGCATTATTACCAGAACACAAATCATGTACAGAAACACGCCGCATAGTCGAAATGGATTGGAAAAAGGGTCGAGATAATGGAGAAAGGAGCGACCTTGGAAGAGGTACTTGGAGATCTCGCGGCGGTTCTTCTCCGGAATAATCTGAGCCGAAGCGGGGCAAACAAATGAACTCATCAGCGCAATTCAACCTCGGACGAGGACAGAAAGAACTACTTTCTCCCATTGATGCGCATGCTATGAAAACTCAAAAGACTTTAATCTTCTTCTTGCGTCCTCCATTCAGTTCATCAGCTACAAACCTAACCAGCTGAGAGCATCGACTCCACACACACACGCGCGGGGACGGAGCGAGAGAGAGAGAGGGGGGGTTACCATGGCTGCGATGAAGAGGAGGCGACGGCGATCCGGAGGCGGAGGCGGCGGCGGCGGCGGCAAGCAGAAATGCTCGGCTCCTTGCAAAACTCCCGAATCGCTTGTTGCAGTAAACCCTAGAATCGGCCGTTGGCGGTATTTTATAGCAGCGCTGCGGAGGCCGTGGATATTGGGCCGAAAGCTGGGCTCGGCCCATTTATTTCGATCTGCTATTATCGGAATGATACTACTCCACGGCCCAAAAAAATCTTCAGAATTTGGACCTTGGTCCATTGTTATTTGACCATAATGTTTTCAATAATTCGAATTCATATCTCCAAATATTCTCTTTCTCAATGCACATTTTATTTTTATTTTCATCTTTTTTCACACGCGCACGTATGTCTTTTTGTTAATTACTATGTTATCGAATTGTGAATGACAGGGAAATTTTTTTTCGTAAAACTTAATGAATATTGGAAATTATTGCTTTATTCGATACATATTGCTATTATTGAGATATCAAAATTAAAGAAAAAGGGTAGAAAGTTGGACTTACTTTGTTATAGCATTCGCCCAAAACGCAAATTGTACTCAAGAACAAAAAGAAACGGCATAAGTCATGAATAACAAATATTTTCGTAATCAAAACGCACTCCATGATGTGAGGGGAAGTAACTATTGTCAAAGACTAATGAGAATGGAGAGGCGGTTGTCATATCATGTGAAACAAAACGCACCTAGGGAGCGGTTGCTCCGAGACTTGATTTGCAAGTCAAATGTAACAAGTTCAGTTCCTTTGTCAATCTTCAATCTCTAAAAACCTTGATTAATTTACAAAAAGAATGGATTTGGATCCGGTGTACCGTTGACTTTGTGCTTTCGTGCATGCACCTAGGTGGCGCTGCAACCACGGGCTCACTCAGCAGACGGTCCATGATCTGTCAGCGCAAGGTTCCACGACCGAGTGTTGGTAAATTTTTAAAAGAGTTAAAATTTCCAATAAAAAGATATTATTCAATCACATGATTTATGATATTTTTGTGCAATTAATAATTTCTCGCGGGCCATCACCAACACCTCAAAGAAAGGGATAATTACACAAATGATTATTGAATTTTGGTTAAATATGTAATGTGGTCTCTGCTATTTTAATTTGTTCAATATGATCCATAAACTTTTGCCCACTATGCAATGCGGTCCTCAACTTTTAATATTTTAAACGTGATTCATGAACTTTTTATATATTTTCAATTTAATCCCTAAACTATATGAAAATATTCAATCTTATTCATAAATTTAAAATAATGGAATGATAATATTAAATATTTTCATATGATTTATAGACTAAAAATTCAGGAATCATATTATATATTGGTATAAGCTTGGGGACTATATCAAACAAATTAAATAAATTCAGAGAGCGCGTTATACATTTGACCCAAAGTTCTGGACCTCCCGTGAAATTATCCCCTGAAGAGATGGCGGACGCCTTCGAATAAATCAAGCGACAGCTTCACAGTCCGCGTCGTCCGCGACTCACTGAGTCGTTCATGGAAGACGGTAACAGCTGCGCCCTCACGGTCGTCGCCGCCGCCGCCGCCCCTTCGACTTCGCTTCCGCCGTCCCTCGCGCTCGCCGTAACCGCAATGGCGACCCTTCCGCGCCGTCAATAGCCGCGGTCGCGCGACCCTTGCCGCTCGCCTACGGCCATTTTGACTCCCCCCGAATTGTTTATTCACCCTCTTCGAACGCAGCATAACACTCATCGGAGCCGAACCACATCCTCTCCTCCGATGTCTCCAGGTCTCCTCCTCCCACCACGAGCGAGCTAGCTGCTGCCGCTTCCGCTTCCGCGATCGCGTTTTGGTTTCTCTTCCGTTCGAATCCCTAACGGCCGGCTTGCTCTCTCCCTTTTCCTCAGCTGCCAGATTCTCGTCGCTCAGGGCGATGGCGAGCCTGTCGAGCGGAGCGTCGCTGGGGCGCGGGCTGTCCCCGCGGTGTCCCGAGGCTCCCGCTCTCGGCCGGGCGCCGCGGCGTTCTTCGATCGGGCTCGGGAGCTTCCGGAGGAGCTACGTGGCGGCCGCTTTTGCCAACGAGAACAGAGAGTGAGTGAGGCTGCTCTTGCGTCCTTGAGTTTCGGCTCCCGATGCGGTTCGAGTTTGGCTTCGAAGTTTTTGAGCTTCTGGACTTGTTTCTGTTCAAGGTTTGTGATCGTCGGCGGTGGGAATGCTGCTGGTTACGCGGCTCGGACTTTCGTCGAGCATGGCATGGCCGATGGAAGGCTCTGCATCGTTTCGAAAGAGGTGATTTCGCTGTTTCGTCCTGTCTTGTATGATGATGTTGTTAATGTTGGTCGAGGAATTATGCAGCGAGTCTCAGATGGACATTGTGCTCCCTCGTTCTTGCAGGCTCATGCACCATACGAGCGTCCTGCTTTGACGAAAGGCTACCTGTTTCCTCTGGATAAGAAGCCTGCTCGCTTACCTGTACGATCGATGCGCTTTGTTATTTCCCGTTTCGCCTTGGCTAGTGCTTCACATTGCCTCGGATGATGGCTTTCTGATATATTGCATATTGACATTTGAATTCAATAGGCTATTTAGATGACTTGGTTAGTAGACTCAATGTTTGCTGTTGATGTAGGCATATCTAGCTGGTGCATTAAGAGATTCCAGTCCTTTTGTGAATTATGGAACACTATGGCTCCTGTTATGGAATGTTATATGTCATGAGATGATGAGCTTTGTTTGCGATACATTGGTACTGCAAATTGCTCATTTAATCTAGAGTTGAAACTATGGGTTTTGGTTGGTGTAGGGTTTTCACACTTGTGTTGGTTCTGGGGGAGAGAGGCAAAATCCAGAATGGTACAAAGAGAAAGGGATCGAGGTACTCCTTTTGAGATCATGGGGCTCCTTCTCTCTCCCTCTCTCTCTCTCTCTCTCTCTATTTGATTGGCTCCTAATATTTTGAACTGTTTTCTGCCTTGTTCAGATGCTTTATGAAGATCCAGTGACAAGTATCGACATCGATAAACAAACTTTGACTACTGATTCCGGAAAGCTTCTTAAATATGGGTCACTTATAATTGCAACTGGTTGCACAGCTTCAAGGTATCTGTAGTTGCAGCATGTTTTCTAGTTTGAAGAGTGCTTTTAACCCTGCCATCATCTGTAAACACGTGGGCATGATGAACTGTTCTTGATCAATTAAATTTTAGATTCCCAGAGAAAATTGGAGGAAACCTTACGGGCGTACACTATATCAGAGATGTTGTGGATGCTAACTCACTTATATCATCCTGGGTATGGACCAACACCATATTCATGCATCATCTCGCTCTACTTGCTTATAGCTTCTTTTCGGTATTTCTTGCTTCACTGCTTCTGTTCTAAAGAATTTGTATTCTAGGAACCTGACTGTTAATACCATTGTGATTTTCCATCATAATGAGAGAGCATGAACAATGTATCAAAGCAAAATTATGGTTAATTATTTCGACAAAAAAAATTGTTCGAACCGTTTAAAAGAACCTTATTTTTAAAGAAAAGAAACTCTTGAATGAATCGCTCTAGCTGTTCCCTGGAAAATCTCTGGCTATTTTTGCTATTCATTTATTGTTGGCAAATAATTGTACACCAGGTGTACTTGTATGACTTAGCAGCTTCTTTTCTCGTGGTTGTGTGATTCTGTTAGGAATGGGCATGGAGATCATGTTTCCCTTCCTCGCCCTGCGAAGTAAAACCTGCCCCGTGAGAGGTGGGGGATGGGGCTGTTTTGCCTCTGTGGGGCAACGGTGTAAGTAGTTGATGTTGGACAATGTGAAGATGAGAAACATGGAAAACAATTGTTCCACATTGTTTATCTAGAAACCTTTTCAAGCTTGCATATCTTATAAAAGTAAGACTTGTACTTGCACATATTCTCTATAAGAATCAATTTTTTTTATTTTTTTTTTCGTATTTTTAATAAAAATACATAAATAAAATACTTTTGCTATAATATATGCACGGGGTGGATTGAGGCCGGACGCCGCTAATACCGGCCCTGCCCCCTTGCCCTGCCTCTTGCGACGGTTCCCCTCGGGGCACAAATTCCCCGCATCTCGTGCCCATTCCTAGATTCTGTAAGTCCTAAAATTCTGGTCACATTATGCCAGAGAGGCACATCATGCTACCTGGAGCACTGGGTAAAACCTCCTGTGAACTTTTTTGCAGTCTAGTCCTGTGATTAAGCTTTTTGTCTCTAAGCCAAATCAACTGGGATAATAGCTCGGATGTGTCTAATACTTGGTGCCTCGGATTTTCTCCTTTTCCAAGAACAATTTGACTTGGTGATCAGATCTGAACATAAAGCTTTCTTGGAGTTCGTAAAAAAATTTAAAAATCTAAGAGGTACCATAAGCACTGGCCAAAAAAGAAAGAGAGAGCATGAGCTTCATTTTCATCTTCTCTGAATTTTCTGCTGTCCTTAGATAACATGGCTTGTTTTAAAGATTCATAGACGTTCTTTCTTACTTTCTAGGAAAAGGCAAAGAAATTGGTTGTTGTAGGAGGGGGGTATATTGGTATGGAGGTTGCCGCAGCAGCTGTTGCTTGGAAGCTCGACACAACTGTAAGTGGAATCATATTTTGCTATCAATATGATTGTTGAATCTGTTCAGAAAGCCTTGATAGGTGAGAATCAAAAGGTTTAGCTTGCCTATGTGTACGAGTGTCATCTGTGTTACCAAATCTGCAGTGACGTTGCTTAGGTCTTATCAAGCCTAGGGTGTTGCTTATGTCATTTCGTTGTTGAATTTATCATCTTCTGAGGACACATTTTACTGCGTAGGCATCTTTTATTATAAAATTCTGCACCTAAATTTATTGCATGAGTATCCTGGCTTCTTTGCCCAGTATCCATTTATCTTAACTTGCAAGTTTAATATTAGCAAATCTTCACTATTTGAAACAAGATGAATGATACTGTGATACAGAAACACAGGACCCTTTCCAATCATCGTCGATAGGCAGGAAAAATGCTTCTAGTATGGTCTAATGAATTGGTGCTAATTGAGTTGCTGGCAAATGTTGCGAACTCTTCTTTTATCCTGAATTATTTCATTTTTTCTCCTAAAAATT